GTGATAACGCTTTTAAGTCTTTCCTTGGCGGTCAACACTTCAACAATGACGACGAGCTGAAAGAAACTGCTTCCAACTGGTTGAAGACACAGGCGGCAAATTTCTATGAAGAAGGTATACAAAAACTTGTGCCACGCTATGACAAATGCCTGCAATATTTCGGCAGCATACTTGCCAACCTATGACACTCAAAAATCAGGAGATTTTTCACAATGTTAAAAAGACTTTTTAAATGATAAAAATATGGTTTTTAGTAATGAATTAACTTAAATAGTACTTATTCTTAATGCAAGCAACACAAAATACCTACACTAAAAAAAACCTTTTTATTACTTGCATCGTTTAAGGAAAAAAAAAGGAGGGAATTTAGTTTAGAAATTAGAAAGAAACTTCCTAATTTTGTTCCTGCATTGCCACGTAGGCCTGCTTTCGCTAAGAAAAGTTTCCTAATGTATCATCACTATATTAGATCTAAATTTATCCTCGTTTAATGCAACAACACTGAAAATCCTCTCACACTCTGCACTACTATAGGGAACGTCAAGATGGCCAACACAATTCTAGACAGTTACTATATTTTAAAATTCCATTAGCACCTTCAGTTTTCCATTAAACTCCACTGGGTGTCAATCCTAGCTGTTTTATAACTTCTTCAAGTTTTCTAATTGTAAACTGCTGTTTATCAGCTGTTGAACTGTTTCAATTTTTCCTTCCTTTTAGAACTCCTTCAAGATAATAATAAATATCACAATGTGTTCATCCACACTTATTGGTAAAGAAGCTACCCCCTTTTTCATCTGCTAATTTAAGAGTGACAGGTGCACCTCATAATCTGCAAATCTGAATTTTCCTTTCTTAAGATGCCGCAACACCAGTCTTCAGCCTACCAATACTGGTGCATGCGCACCAAGTGCTAAGCAATTATCCAGAGGGCGTGAATTTTCTTTTAAAGTTTAATAATTAGCTGTGGTATATTAAAGCCTGTCAAATGTCCTTCTAAATGGGACAAAAGTAAACTGCACTCAATTTCTTAAGAATCTGGATTAAGAAAAGAAACAACAATTGGATACAGTTTTGAATCGGTATTATTGCTTCCTCCGTAGAGAGGCGAACGGAGCTGTTTATGCAATCAATAACTGAGATTTATTTTTCAACCCATTTCTTTAACAATTGAACCTGTTTTGGTTCTTCACTTGAGTATTTCTTAGCAATTTCACTATCGGAAATATCTAAATAACTGCAGCGTGATCCGATGCATTCAGTGGCAGGTTGTGCTCCAGTAAAAAAGGCAGAGAACAGCATTCTGCATTAATAACTTTTTTGGTCCTTTGTTTCCAAGAAAATTTAATTTTTCGTTTTTTTTTTAACAACTCATGTTATCCTTGTGTTTTTGTGTTCGCACATGTTTAGAACATCCGCCCTTCCACATGCGAATTCGAAAAATCGCAACGACAGGCGGTGCACATCGCAAATTATTTTTCCTTGAGGAATAATGGGGAAAACAACTCAGCACAAAGGAACAATAACTAAAGAACATCCAACTAACAGCTTGCCTTGTCTCATTGGCTATATATGCCAGCTGACACGCAGTGGAGTTCTATGCCCACTGGAGAATGACGTTTCTGGGATACGTATAATGCTCTCACTCACAAAGCAGAATTGGAGTTCCATGTATTCGTAAGGTTTGTTTTAGACTAATCTATGAAAATTCAATTGCTTTCAGACTCCAAAATACTTTTGTTCATATAACAAAGTATTAAGCCAAGTTCCATAAAAATCGTGAGAAATTTTAAGAATAAGAAAAAGTCGAGAGAAATATATTGTAAATCGGGTTGGCGGGAGATCGGTCGGAAATCGGGAGACTCCCGCCTAAATCGGGAGAGTTGGCAACTCTGCGGCAGTTATGTGGAAAAGTAGTTTAAGAGTTGTTGAATTTTGTGCAATAAATAACTTTTCTGTAGCTGTACACAATTTACTTTTATTACCAAACGAAACTTACTTTCTGGACGTACATTGTACAAGGATTTGAAAATGAAGATTGCTTATTAGCATAATAGTGCAATGTATATTAGATATAAAAATTACAGAATTGAAAATTTGTCACGTATCATCTTTGCTTATTATATACATTGAAAATAAACAGTCTGCTTCTGTAACAGAATAAATATCAAGTATCTTGAAATTTTTTGTATACATGGAGTTCTACTGTTCGATACACTATACAAAGAACAGTATATATAATGATTATCAAGTCTGCACAGAAATTTTTTAATGGAAAATTCTTGTATATAGGTTTAGTTGATATTTCTAAGACATAGCAATATTTCAGACTTTTATTCTGAATACCATGACAAAATAATTGTAGTAGATTATATTATGCAGCTTATAGCTTTCATATATTTGTTGTGTCTTGGGAAATACATTCTGCCTCAAGAACTAGCAGGTAATAGAAATTGATAGTCAAAAGATTGATGAATATTTAATAATTTTGAATTTATAGATGAAACTTTATCTATGAGAGTAAAATTGTTTAAAACATATTAAAAATGGTTTCCCTAAAATGTTTCCTAGTATAGTTTTTAATCTTAGACTAAATCATACATTATATTTAGTCTGGAAGTTAATGTTCTTTAGTCATAAAGTATGTTTTATTGTAATTCATCGTAGATTGTAAAATTAAATTTATAAAAATATGATGACTTAAAAAATGTGTTGCAGATATTAAACTAGATTTTAATTATATGTAATTTTGAAATTTTACAGATCTTGTTTGCTGTAATTAGTTTTAATGTTTTTATTAAATCCTTAATTAATGCTACTATGCACACATTAGAAAGTGAAATAAAAGAATACTTAGGGATATAATTTGGCTACATTCAAAAAATTACTCAAGGATTTTCATGAGTACCAGCTCAAACAGTTCAGAAGTATTTCTCCAAAATATCTGTAATTACTTAAGAGTTGTATCTTTCTGATAATATTTTTTGATCCTTTACAAGTTAATGCCAAAATTACTTTGTAAATCAGAAATCTTTGAGGGAATTAGTGTGTCTCACATAGTTACTTTGGTGCCCCACTATAACACTGGAATTGGCAGATGTATAATTGAATGTTTAATTGAAAAATGTCTAAACCCTCTTCTATGATATTTCAAAAATTAATGCTTTTGAAACAAGAAATATTCGTACATTAACATTTTCTTGGTTTTCATTATATATTTATTATGATACATGTATTAATGTATCATAATAAATATATACAAGTTAGCATTTGGTAATGTTTGTTTCAACAATATAGGCTTTGATGAAGTGCCAAAAGAGATTATCGCTTAACGAATGCATGCAGGCCAACTGCCAACACGAGATATTAAGAAAGGAATGAAAATGAAGATTTAACTATAAGGAAAAACCTCAGTAATGTTATTACTCAAACACTTGTTTCCCATTATTGTAAATTTATGTGAATATACCTTTATTCTGTTTATTTTGCATCTTATTGTTATTGTAAATTCATGTATATGTTTTCATTCATTGCTCTGCTATGCATTTCACACAATAACTGTTTGTTGTACATATTAATTATATGTGTATATTACATCACTGAAGTACTGTATTTGAATTTTTAATAAACCTTTTTTACCATTCAGTAGTACTTTTCCATAAAACCCTAAACATTCAAATGCCCATATCACTAACTCCCCAGATTCCAAATAATACTCGAGTTTACTTTATTCATGTATTAGTAACAAATTTGAAAAATAATACAATAGTGATATATTTTGAGGTAAAACAATCCCACTCAAATGGACATTTTAGAATGTTCTTCCTTTTAATAGAGGAAAATAATTTAAGGATTTAATTAGTATTTGAATATGTGTGCATGTAACGAATATATAGTGAATACATTTTGAACAATAATTTCATTTGAGAAAATATGATCTGCCTGGGTTACAGAATTATTCTTTAAATGCAATTATTTGGTTGAAATCTGTAACCCATAAAAAGGTAAAGCAAAAAATAGAAGATATTTTAAATAGTTTCCCCCGAGACTTGAATTATTTAAACATTATATGTCCCTAAGTTTCTAGTTAATTTAAAATATGTTTAATTATAAATTTAAAATAGACTCATTTTATTCTGCTCAGCTACTAGCCATTATATGAAATTTTCCTATATTATTAAAATGTTGCTCATGCATTTTACAAGGTGAAGACCACAAATGTTCTGCCCTTACAACTTATGATGATATAATAGCGTGGAGTAGACTTCAGCATAAGGAATATGGAACATTATATTTTGGTCTTTGTTTATGAATTAGCTCACATTAAAAAAAAATTCATGTCATACAGTAAGTATTCGTAATTTTTTTATATTTAACTGAAGTATTTAAATGATAATTTAATTAACAATACCTAATAATGTCAAGTGCATATATTATTATACAGAATGGAATTCTGGCCATAACACTGGGGCAAAGTGATATACAGGATGATTCTAAATTGTTTTTACAAATTAAAAGGGGTGATAGTACCCATCCAAACGAGCATTAATTACCATACAACATAGGGTCACATTCCACTCTGAAAGACAGAAAAAAGGAATATTAAAATTTCAACCTGAATTTATAACAGTGTTGGGAAAGTGAATGAACAAGATCAAAAGTTGCACAATCAGATTTATTGTTTAGTGAAAAACTCGTAGAAAGTGCTCGAAATGCCGACCATGCATATCATTACACAGCTGATGTCGGCAAAGGAACAACTAGAGCACCCTCTCGAAGATTCCTGGTGTCCTGTTTATTTGTCCGGGGCAGCAACAATTCTTGCATTTCTCAAAATGTGCTAAAAGAATTGCCAGATACATTTTACGCAAAAAGAAATTTCGGGGGCAATATGTCGAGTGCTTGGAGGTTATTTGTGGATAAATCCATGTTACGCGCCATATTAAAAAGTGCACGGAAGCAGAGGCAGTTTTGAACAATGAAGAAATTTGGACAATACCTTTAGAAGATGATGCTTTATTGCTATTACAGTCAAGAGTCGTTAACACATTTATAACTTACGTTGCATGAATTTCAAGATTTTACACTTTTATATGTAATACAACCAAAAAAATTCTTAACCTCTTGACATACAAATAAAATATGCATCAGAACACTTAATTTGGACACTAATGTGCAAGCTTAGAAACAAATTTTTCTTTTCAAATTCACATTACTATATAACAATAATAATATACTGAGTGTCATTTGCCAAAGACAATTCTTGATGTCTCGGAGATGTCAGTCTACAGTGGCGCATGAAATCAATGATGTCTCCCAGACGTAATTTATGTCAAGGGGTTAAATGCTGCACTGACTGAGAAAAATAAGTAAATAGTACAGAAAACACATCCATTTAAGTCAAAACCATCCCCTACAATGTGGATTTAAAAACTGTACCTCAGCATGCTTAGCTACAACTTGAAAATGAATCTGCATGAATTTCATGTTGAGTAACTTTTGCATGAACAGATGCAAAAATTCAATTAATTTAATTTAAGGCATATTCACAATTTTTACATAAAATGCTATTCTTCAGTTATTAATTACTTGGGTCATTTATGAATCTATGATTTTAATTTGTTCTACCATTCAAGTGCACTTATACACTGAAGTCACAAAGTACCACAAATACTGATGACCAAGACAAAAAGATTGTAAACAAGCCCCTTTAAACATTGTCTTACAAAAAACGTTGTCAATTATTTATTGATTCAAAAATATACATGTATTATGACATAGAAAAGGCCTACATATTTCATACAAACAATGAACAACTGACATGAATACATATAATAAACTATGCAATATAAAAATAGATTAAATTATAAAGAACTGGAAGATAAAAATGTTTAGTTTCATAATACAAAATTCATTCAATTTGCCTGGCAACTGCACATAAATTATATAACAAAATACATTCACATGACAAATTTCATTACTCCCTCAAAATCTATCTCTGCTACTCAAAAACAAATCTAACATTTGATTAACACTCACAGCAATTTTTACAATTTCCACCTTAATGAGTTATTTTAGGCACAAAAATTGCAATGCTACTAATATGATTTATGACCTTTTAAAAACACAACAGCTGTGTGGCTGAAAACAAAACTGGAAGGACATGTGGTGCTGAATTCAAGCAGTACATGATAAACTGAACAGAAAATTTTTATTCATTTCTTTATTCAATTCAGTTCAAACAGAATAAATAAAAAAGTTGCAGTTAGACAGAAAAGTTCATTTATATATATTTGAAAAGTGCTACAAAACTATTAAAAATTATCTTCACTACCACAAAAATTACTCTTCCACCAAACATTAATTTTACTAATTACCTGGATTTAATTACAAGATAAATTTTATTTAAAAACATATTCATATTAATATGACTCAATTTAATGGAATTTCTGAAACAATAAAACAAATGACATTATTGAAGTATGATAGCATGAAGTATTTATACTTGAAAATAGAAACACATTATTTATTTTCGGAATTAGCTCAACATGAGATGCCATGTTAATAAATTTACATGGAAAATAAATAATTTGAATTCAAATAACATTGCATGATTTTTAAAACAATGACATTTAAAATGCAAAGCAAAATTGAGCCTTTTCATGATAAAATATCAAATGTACATAATTCTGTTTATAGAAATTTGTAAGGATTTATCATTAAAAAAATATCTAAAGCATGAATTATACAAAAGGAAGGAAAACAAATGATAATAATGCATAATTATCAAAAGTAAAATTACATTAATAACCAGTCACATACTTGTAATAACTAGTTTTAAAGCCTCTGTAAAATGAAAAAAATTTACTGTTCATATTTTAAATAAGTTACTACTTACATTTTATTGTTAAAATAATATGAATTATTAAATGTTAGAAAGATTTTAGCTCTTTACGCATTCTGTAAACATAATGTATTATTTGGAGGGGGTGGAATTCAATCTTCACAATAATATTTCATACTGGTACAATTAAGTTTGCCATAAAAGGAAAATGTAATCACACTTTTTACTTAAAATACGAATTTGCAAAGCACCAGAAATGAATACATTATTTTTAAACTGAATGCATAATAGCCTACAACAATGTATGAACAATTACAGCGCACATGGAAACATCCAAGAAGCATTTAGGCAAAGAAATATTACAAAATTACACATAATTAAACTTTACGTACGTTAAATATAGACTCTCAAAGGATCATTCTGATATTACAACAATGCATTTCCAATGCACATTAAAACAATGAAACAAACACTGACAGCATATAAATCTCATCTGTGAAATTATAATCTTATCAACAGATCAGCACACTTCTTAAACAACATTGCAACAGAGTGGAATAAATTAATGTTACAGAAAAAAGATAAAAATTCATATAATCATTATAGAATCATGAAGTGTGGCCATAAATATATAACTATAATTTAAAGGCCTGGCTCAAAATCAACAGCTGCAGCAGAACTGTACTTCTGTAATACTGCAAAGTAAGTATATCAGAAAAACAAACTTACAGCTACCTTCGCTTTAATACTGGTAACACAAACTCATTTTGATATTTACTCCATAAAAAGAGTGAGTGATACACCTGTTATGCTTTTGGTGTAATAAAAAGACATATATTTAAAAAGGTTTTTATTATAATGAGCTAAATTTCGTAATGCATTTTTTGACTTGCTTTTGTTATAATCCAAGTGACACCTTTTTCAGCATCAAAAAGGTTATGCAAAAATGAAGTTCCCTCACACATACTAAAATTTATAGATTAAATAATCAGACCACCATTCAATTGTATCATTCTATTTTATTTACAGAAGAAAATTCCCCCCCCCAAATCCTTACAATATTTTGCCTTGCAGTATACACACAGGACAATTTATATATTTATAATACATATTTTTAAATATCAGATCTAACAAATAAAAAATAATACAAACAAATTGATGACAGCACCATTGCATAACAAGTATGATTTTCTCACTTGTTTTCTACAATTCAAAGGTAACCAACCAATCAAGTATTTAAAAAACATTTTTTTTACTTCACAAAAAATGAATTTTTAACACAGTCAATTTATTTTCTAACAATCATGCAAAAATTGTAAGTTTTATTAATCAGAATATAATAATTTCTTTAATAATATAATGTAAAACAATCAAAAATACTCAGTATGGTTTTATCAAAAAAATATATAAAAAAATTTCAAAATATATGTTATAAAAATACAGAAATACAATGGAATTTGTTTTAATACATAGAATTTAATGCACATACCAATGGTCTGAACAAAAATTAATTTATTCAATTATAGTGGCACATCAGAATAATATTTCATGGAACGCTCTTTTGCTTCTTCATAAGTAAATATAGGTTGGTAATCAAGGCGAAGGGTAGCTTTACTACGATTGTAGAAAAATGTGGAACACATGTAGTTAAGAACGGAAACAGGAGGTATGTCTACTTCAAATTTTACAAACAAATTAACAATATGTATCAAAAGGCAAATACATGAAAGAATTATCCAAGCAAGCCAGTAAGGAAAGACATAATCACTGACTTTAAAATTTCGAGCTTCTAAATATGGTTGGAGGTGCTCATGAATGTCAATAATGGGTGTATCATCAGTAACAAAAAAAGCTTCCCCAGAAATGGTTTCATCAATTGCAAGTCTATCTTTTGCTTTAATATGAGCCCATGCAGCATTACCTACATAGCAAATTTGTAGACGTTCATCTAAACTTCTAATTCTGCGATAATAACCCTTGTTTTTCTTAGTATACTTCAAAACATCATAGAAAAATTTTTTATCTTCTTCACCATAAAAAGGAGTTGGGCGAATAGCAGCAGTACGTAATGTTGTCTTCCCTGTGAAAGATAAAGTCTGTGTGTTAAGACAAGAAAAACTGTACACCATTATCGACTGTCTTTAAGTGGCAATTTTAAAAGCAAAATAACCTTAAAATTATCTTCATTTTTAAAACTTCTTTACAAAGTCATGATAATCAAAAATTTCTAAAATTAATGTAGTGTAATTGACCAAACTTATTAATTTGTGCTTATTTTATCATTATCTAGATATAAAATAAGATGCTGTCCTCTAAAATGTCACAAAATTTAGGCACTTTTTGTCTTTAAAGATTAATAATTTTTATACTCAGCAGAATATGAATGCTTTTCAGAATTTATATCTTACTCCACTTGTGTCATTTTGCACAGAAATAAATATTCTACTCTCATAGCTCCATATATGCTATGATAACATGCAAATGTTGCTCAATATATCACTATGGTCTGTTACTTTAAAATAGAAACTTCAAAGTAATTTTTCACCACCTGATACCTCATGAACAACAGCTGGAGCAGACAGTTCAAGTCACATATTTTTGCCTCCAATCCATTTCTGTTCAATGTGTTTTGTTTCAAGAAAGGCCCATGAATGAAGCCTAATATGAACTACAGTCTCAAAACGAAAAAAAAAAAAAAAAAAAAAAAACAAGTGCAGGACAGTGATGGCAACACACATGATGATTGCAAATGGAGGAGGCTGGCCTTCAAGCACCTATTTTATTTTCAATGACTTTCAAGTGCCCAGTTAAAAAAATAAAGATTACAGAACTGATTCCTAAGGGAACTGCTAGTATTTAGTGGATTTTAGCTTCTCAGGTGTTATCAGCTGCTTTGATGAATGGTACTAAGTTGCAGGAATGTGAAGGAAAAAGAATCTTGGAATTAACAGAAATGCATTCTAAAGCCTTGGAACATAAAGGATCATTAAAACAAAAGACAGTCAAAATGCCTGACATACAAGAACTTATTTTGAAGAAAATATAAATGATTAGAAAACAAAAGTGAGAAGATTCTGCTACCATAATAATAAAATTCATTATAAGTAGCATGCAAAAGTTATTCTGTACCAAGGTTCATAATACATGGTGTTAGAAATATAATTTATCAATTACAGCACTACAAAGGTTTATAAAAATTATCAAACATATATCATTAATCAGAAATCAGAGAAAAGATAAATTATTAGAATATAAGCAAAGCATTGTCTTAACCTCAAAGGTTTATTAAAAACTTAATGAAGCACTGAATAGCAACTATTTTTACAACTGGGAATTTGTCAAGTCATGTGAACGTTAAATGAGAGGATTCACATTTAATGGAATGACAACACTTGCGTGGCTGTGTGGATGATATATATCTTGGTAATAAAACCATAAGCACTGTGAAGAAAAGGAGTAACTTAGCTACAAGTGTTTTATAACATCAAGGGGGGAAATTTCCTTTTCTGTTAAATGGTTCGTGATGCTGTTTACTAGCTTATTACATCACTGGCTTTTTCTTTTTCGTGGAAATATTATAAAATGTTTACTTGGTTGTGAAATTTTTCTAGTCCTCAAATTAATTATATAAATCTAAATGTTATTTATCTGCAAAATAGAAAACCACTTACATCTGGGTAAAAGTTGAATGAATCAATCTGAATGAGGACACATGGTCCTCACTACGCTTCATTTTGCGAGAATATGTCAAATACAAAATATGTGTATTATATACAGTAAATATTGCAGAATACACAGCAGTCGTAATACATACAACTGAGATCATTTTGCAGTCAGTTTTGGACCACATCTAGGCTCAAATTGAGTAGCAGCTAAATATGCTTCAAGCAATAAAAAGTTCATTCACTGAAGACAAGCACTGTTGCAATAATATTTACTAACTTTGTTTTTATTCATTTGCACTTTCTTCAGAACATGAGGTAATTGACTCCAGAGCTAAGTGACTTAGAAATAAAATTAAGGATAAAACTTTATTATAAATCAATCACAGTAGATTCCCAGTTATCCAAGCTCATGTCAATCGGAGCCAACCAACTCAGAGAGCAAAAACTCATAACACAGACTGATACAAAGAAAGTTTTAATACTATATTCTTATTGTACACACTACATGGAATTTATGAACATACAGGTTTCACGCAAGTACATAGTGCGAAACATGTGTCCATTCAAATGTACTGATATACATGTAGTACTAAATATGACATGTACCATATACTTGGACACATGTACCTGCAAAACAAATGAGGTGCGGTGCAGTGGATATGTTGTACATTTAAAAAAAAAAGTACTAGCCTTCATTGTGCACCCGATTTTCCTGCCTCCATATTGCACAGATGTTGCAATATTTTTACAGATTTACTATTTCAGTGAGGTTATTTTAACAAATTTTATTTACTACATAGGGCTCAGATAACATGGAACCTCAGTTTTTTCTCTCAATGACTGAGGTGTACTAATTCAAAAAGTGGTATGATGCACTCTAAAAAGATATTCTTAAACAAAAGTGGGCTATAATACAAAATTATAATTGGCGACTAGTTAGAGTGTCTAGCATTTTATTCTATATCCTTTTGTTGTTCCTATTATTTTGAATAAAATATGAAAAAAAAATTATAAGCTATAAGCCTTAAGATTACTTTCATAGATGGCTTTCATAATACACTCATGTCCATAAATTAAGGATAATTTGGAGTCACGTGGAAATTGAACTCTAAAATAAATATATCACCTGTAAAATCACTACACACATCTTCAAGAATCATATGCAAATTTCAGGAAGTAACCAGATGACACTGATGGTACGTCACCATGACGAGAGTGATATATAAGGAATACAGGCAAAAAAAATTGTTTTCGCAGGCACTTTATAAGCATTTCAGTGAATAACCGAATAGTTGACAAAGGACGCTTTTGGATGATTTTTTACGTGGTAGAATTATCGGCCGTCTGGAATGTGGGCGTACCCAACTGGAAGTACCAAGACGAACTTGGAATTACCCAGAGTGTCATCTCCAGGCTTTGGCAATGATTCCAAGATGATGGTAATGTGAGTAGACGTTACAGCACAGGTCACCCCAGAGTTACAACGCCGAATGAGGACCGGTATTTGGCAGTTACTGCCAAAAGAAACAGGCGGAGCACAGCCTCAGACCTGTCTCGTCAGCTCTCTTCAGCCACTGGTACGGCAGTTTCAAGGCAGACCGTGTACATACGCTTAGGGCAGATTGGTCTATATGCTCGAATACCTGTCAGATGCGTTCCACTTACTGAAACTCACTGTCACCTGCGGTTAGCCTGGAGTAGAGAGCATGCATTGTGGACACTGTAACAGTGGGCTTGTGTGATGTTTTCCGACGAGCCCAGGTTTAGCTTGCAGTCTGATTCTTGCTGGACTTTCACATGAAGAGCTCCAGGTACCCGTTACCACCAAGAAAACACAGTTGAACCACACCGTTACGGTGGTGCAGGAGTGTCGTTGGGGTGGAATTTTGGGTTCCAGAATTGACCTGAATGTTCAAATTGAAACCATGACACCAATCTATCGGGACGTCATTCTGGAACAACATGTCAGTTTTCGGGCGCCATGGTGCTCAATTTGTGTTTATGGATGACCACACCGTCCTCACAGTGCAAATCGTAAGCGAATGCCTTCAATCAGAGATATCACCGCATGGACTGGCCAGCATTCTCACCGACTTCAATCCAGTAGAGTATGTGTGGGACATGCTTGGCCACAAGTTGCAGCCCGTCAACCTCCTCCTAAATGTCTCCAGAACTCGAGAGCATTGCTTTTGAGTGGTGTAATATCCCCAAGATCAGATCAATAATTTGATACTCACATGCCTAGGCGTTGTACGGACTATATTGCATCGTCTGGGAGACATACAATGTTAAAGTCATACCAACCATGTAATGTTGGTTTTGTAAATAGGTTTTTTTTGTTTGCTCCAGGGGGAAAAAAAAATCGCTAATTTTTTAATATCAAACATATAGATTTTTTTGCTCTTCCTTTTTTTTTTAATAATAAGCTTTACAAATAAGTCAAATTTGTTTTGCTTCTAACTGTTCCTTTGCCTGATTTTGCATTATCCTTAATTTATGGACATGAGTGTACATGAGGATACAAGTTGCCTATTCAGCAGCCTGGACTTGAAAAGAATTGCCAGCATTCTGCCCTTGGTTGGCCAATTTATATTCGGTAACCATAAATTACATGCACGGTTTTATTCCTTTACCTGCTCCAGGAATAAATTAAAAAAAAAAAAAAAAAAGATGTAGATACCACATAATTTCCTTGTACGGCCTATTACATACACATATTTTTTTGCTCACCTTCATTTAAATTTGTTTCCTCAAATTATTCCAATCTGAATACCTGATCCTTCAAGGCAAGTTGAAAATGACATCAAAAACTGCAAATTTTGAAATTAAATACCATATTCAATTTTTGTTATACAGAAGTCAAACTTCTTGTATTTTTATTTTTTCACAGCAAACATAAAACTCCAAAACATGTATAGGAGCCAGAAGATCGCATCAAAAAGTTAGACTTCATTACTTGCCAAATATAATTTAAAAAAAAAAAAAAATTCTGAAAACATGAATATTTTCATTGTTTAAAACACTTCTGTAATTCGAAGTATACGACTACAACCAACAATTGTGAAAATTAAGCCCGCATAAGAACTTTCAAGCCAAGGTCTCTCTTAATTCATGTTGTCTTGCTACTTTTATATATATGTGTGTGTGTGTGTGTGAGAAAAATAAAGAATATGTAAAAGATTTAACTTAGCAACATAAATTTCCCTTCTCTATTCTAAAACTAGTAACCCCTCTCTGCATTGCATCATTTCAAGACCATTCTATGTCATATGATTCTTATGTAATTATGATGATGTAAATGCAACTAAAACTCAACCAGCCACCAATAGTAATTTTAGAGCAATATTAGCGTCCATCAGAATGCTTTGAGAACAAACTAACTCAGTTTGACTGAGATTTCTCCTGAACATATGCC